CTCAGAGGTCAGGAGGCACACATAGCGTCTCCACGGCAGTGGAGTGAGTCCCTCAGCAGTGTTGCCAGAGGACTGGGAGTCCCAACCAGGCCCCACGAAAGCAGAACAAAGCCCCATTTCAAACAGCAGCCGCCTTTAGAAACCAAAATGCGGGGAGTTTAACCATCATCTACGCACAACGCCTGAGGACATGGGAACGGAGCTCTGACGGGCCCCTGATCACATTCCTGGGGTGGCCCTGAGGCGCGGCTGTGGCCCTTTCACCTTTTCTCTTCGTCTACGTCTACGGGGCCCAAGGCCTCTCGGTCACCCCAAGGGGCCGCAGTGGCCGAGCACCCGCGGGCCGGCGTGTGTGCGCAGTGGAACCGTGGTTCTCCCAGGATGACACCCTGGAGGGCGGCATCAGCCCCTGTCATGGGGAAAGGGGTGTGAAGGACAGGGGGTGGGGCTGAGTTCCAGGAGGCAGGCCCGGGCTCCCTCTGCTCTGAGCGTAGGGCGTAGAGTCAGGAGACAAAACCAAACCAAAAAACTAAGGCGTCTGGGGCAGAAAATGCACAAGATGAGTGTGGACCGGCTCGACTCCAGAGAGCAACAAAACCACACCAGCCGCTGGGGTCGCGTCTAAGGACTCGGGAGCCATGGAGAGGCCGTCAGAGGCCAGGAGGGGACAATCCGGGCATTGAGAACGGCTCGGGGCACTTCCAACATGTTTAAATCCATGAGTCATGGTCGTGCTGAAAAAAAATCCATCAAAACACTCTCTCCCTTTGGAGAGAATGAACTCATTATTTTGAAAACCTGTAAGTCGTGGCAAGGATTTCAAGCACTGGTCCTGCCATTCCCAGAGGAACCGGCGTCGGGAGGCGTAATCAGCTGCTGACAGACAACGTGCCAGCTCACAGGCGGGGAAGGGAAGGCAGAGTTGGAACGTCCCGTTTCGCAACCCTTAACGTGCGTGTGGCTCTGGGCTGTGACGGGCAGGGTCTGGCTGGAGGGTCCTGCCTCTCACAGGAGCCAGGCCGAGGCTGGGGGCCGGACAGGACTGCGAGGGGCTTTCCCAGCGAGTGGACCCAGGGCGGCTCCCAGAAACAGACCTCGACAGAGTGCCCGGCCACACCGTCAGCCTGATTTCAACCCGATCAAACAGGACAGGACAGCCAAACGTCAGTTACGAGAGAGTCCGTGAAACGGGAACCCTATCTGATGTTAATGTTTCGGACGTGATCATGATACTCTGGTGATTCTAAAGAGAAAAAAAAGGCGTCCTTTCCTATAGGGGATGCCCAGGGAAACATCTGCAGATGAAGAGTGTTTGGGATTTGCCTCACAGCCTCCTGGGGGGGCGCAGAGGAGGGGGACACGGGAGGGAGGACGGGGGTGAACCCCTGGCCTGCAGGAGCCTCGATGGTACAGGGTTCATCACATCACTCCCTCCGCTCCCACGTATGCCTCAGATTTTTCTGTAATAAACAGTTCAAAAATCCAAGATAAAAAGAGGGCGACCCCAGGTGAGCTGCCGGCCCGGGGAGGACAGAGGCTCCCGGGGACACCCCGCGTTGGGGCTTCGTGGACAGAGGGCGGGAAGGAAGTTTCGGGAGGAGAGGACCCTTGGTCCTGGTAGGCGGGCAGGCTGCTCAGCAGGTGTGCGGGACGTCTGTGGGGCCGGCCTTGGGGGTGAGCAGGCCGCACGCCAAGCAAGGGTCTGACACCCTGGGCACAGCCCAGCGGAGCCCACGTCATACCTCGTGCAGCTTCTTGGAGATGTTGTGCGCGTTCAAGGCAAACACGGCTTCCCGGGCGCCCACGTACAAGGTGTCCTTGTCTTCGCTCAGCAGCAAGGCCGAGTAGTTGAAGATGCCCGGCTCGTGAAACTGCACCAGCGGCACCTCTGGGGGGGAGGGGCAGGTCAGGGGGAAGGAGAGAACATTCTGGGTGTTTCTGAGCCTGGACACACCCTGAGCGCCCGGGCTCCTTCCACTGCGCCGTCACGGCCGGGCCGTGCAGGGGTCTGCTGCCCCGGCGGCCGGAACTCAGGCACCTTCGGGTGGAGCCGACCCCCCGGGCGGCCACCAGGTGTGAGGCCCAGACCCTGCACTGTGGCCTCTCAGGAGCGCGCCCTTCGAGGGACACGACCTCCTGGCAGTGTGACCTCCTCGGGGAGCAGCCTCCCAGCAGCACGACCTCTTCGCGGTGTGACCTGCGACCTCCCAGGAGACTGCAGACCAGCCCCACGCTGCCGGCCACCGGGCTTCCCTCCGCCTCCCACCAACCCCCTCCGTATGTGTGTCTGACCATCCACAAAGAACGTAACTGCTTAGGACTTTCTTATTCAGAAAAAAACCATCTACCTCAACACCTTTAAAATAATCTATTTCAGTGGTTGTGTCTTTCAACCCAACCATTTTTTCAAGGACAAACACCCCAAACTTTCAAAACAGAGAAACCAGTGACTTTTCCGCTTAGCAGCTGATTGCATCAAGAGCTGTTTAGGAAAATGAGCGATTTAGGGGTCAGCGATTTAGGAGTAACGCAAACACATCAACATTATTGCTATCATTATTGGTTTTTGCGGGGGAGGTAATCAGGTTTATTTATTTATTTTCAGGGGTGGGGGCTGAACCCACAACTTCGTGCAAACTAAGCACACGCTCCACCACGTGAGCTACACCCTCCTCCTCGCCGACACTGTTTCTTTAGAAGATGTCTCTTCTTTTTGACCATCCCAGCGTCAGCTCTGAACGTGGCTTTCTGCATATCACCCAAGCTCTGACTTTACTTAAGGGGGAGGTGTCCCCGCTCCCCGCTCTCCTCAATGTCCAGTGTTGGCGAGAGACGCTCGCAGGACAAAGGTACCACCGGGGCTCTGCGCGGGGCAGCTCAGCCCTGCAAGGCCCCGGACCAGGACCAGGAGCGGAGCCCTCAGTCCACTGAGCCTGAAAGTCCGGGGCCCCAAGACACAGCTCCCAAGAGAGGAAATAAATAAAACGGAAACTAATAAACGGCAAACGAAGACCGCTAGTCTGAAGCTCAACTACACGCAATTCAATGTCCTCAAAGCACGGTCTGCGTCTGGGTGGCGGGCACCAGACATCAGGCACGAGGACGCTCAGCTTCCTCCCGGGGCCCCCGACTTAAAACCCAAAGCAGCAGGCGGTGCCCCAGCCCCGCGAGGGGCCGCGGCTATCCGGGCATCTCCCAGGAGCGCGGCGCAGACCCGGCAGAGCCAGCGGCTCCCACGCATCTTGCATCTCGACATCTGAGTGGGGGCCACTCCCTTCAGATGCCGCGGCGCCGCCAGCAGGGCTCTGCCCTCACCTTGGTGCTCCCAGGTGATCCGAGGTACGGGAGCAAACGCCACCGCTGTCCCAAACACCACGGCAAGGGCGGTGAGCAGCCCCCTGGCGGGGACGCACATCCTCATTGGCTGGGCCGCAGCGGGGATTTCGGCAGCAAACGCCCGTGGGTGGCAGCGCCTGGTGGTGGGTGTCCGGCTGGGTGTGCTCAGAGCCCCGGGGCCACGGCCTGCAGCACAGCCGGGAGCTGGGGGGCGGCGCCAGCCCCGAGGACCCGCATTTCTCGGCGCTCTGGGAGAGGGCGGGCTGCTCTCAGCGCCGCCAGGGTCAAGGGCCGCCCGGCGCTCTCAGTGTGCTGCTTTACGGCCTTCTGAAGAAATTCTGGAAGAAAGTGAGAAGGAAGGATGTGTGGTAATAGCGCCTGCTTTCCGTTTGCCCAACATCCCCCACGGCTCTGCTCTCCCCACACCCCCAGCCACAGGCTCTGTCTGCTGAGGAGCAGAGCGATGGGGACACGGGGCCCCGGGGGACAGCCCCACATGGACACAGGCGGAGTTACAGGAGTCGGGGCTTCCCGCTCCTCAGGTCAGCCCGGGATGCAGGACAGACATGGGGACCCAGGCCAGGGGGACAAGCGCCGGCCTGGCTGCCCAGCTTCCTCCCCGTGCGGCCGCCGTGTCCAGCTGGTAATGCGACGGGAAGGAAGGGAATGGAACCCGGGTTTCAGTTTCCCTCAGAGACTCCGGCTTCCCAATTCCTGTGATCCTCATCGAGGGCGACAGTCAGAGCTAAAGACCGGAGGAGGGCACAGAGGCCGAAGCCTACGGGTACACACGCACACGCTCGCCTGCGCAAGCACACGCCTATGCACGCATACAGATACACATACACGCACACGTGTCCTGGTCATGCAAGAGTAGCTGACCTCCCGCAGGGGACAGGGCCACCCCCGATGGCCTCGCCCCTCCCGCCTCACCCTAAGTGTGCACCCATGGGGACAGTGGTCATGGGCTCTGCTTTGTCACTGAGAAACACTCGATGGAAAAAACAGCCCTGTGCTGAATACAGCAACTGTGGGGCTGGGGGTCCGCAGGTCTCCGGGCCCCCACACTCTGCCCTCCAGTCCTGGCCTCCCGCTTGCTCAGCCCCAGGCACCCTCTGCGAGGGTCCCGGTGGGGGGCCACAGGAGAGCCCCGCTCCAGATCAGGGAATCAGGGCAACTGAGCACTGGGATTTGCCCCAGACCTGAGGCCCCACCAGGATCCCAGTGACACTCTGAGATGGACTGGTTCCCAACTTCTCAGGAGGGAGCTGAAACCACAACGTGGCCTAAGCACAGGCAGGACCCTTGCTGACCACACCTGGGGGTCCAATTAAGTGACGGCAGAAGCCCCCACGCTCTGCAGACGTGCTGCCCCGGGAGGCCCCATGCGGCGTCCGTGGGCACGCAACCCCTTCACATCGAGTGCCCTCTTGCAGTACGGCGGAGCAGCTGCCTCCCCTCCCCCCTCCCCACAGCCCTCTCCCCGCCCCTGCAGGTCCCAGGAGTCGGCCATCCTCACCTCCTCCTCTTCCCTCCACCCCCCGCAAGCCAACCCACCTCCAGGTCTATCTGTCCAACTGACACCCCCGGGACCCTCCCTCCCGGAACCTTCCCCTTGCGCCCGCCATCACCGTCAGCATCCCTACCACCATCTGTCAGGACGTGTGAGGGGCAGCCAGCTGCCTCGCTTCCTCTCCTGGCTCAGCCTCTCCCCGCGCCCCCCAGCCTGCCACAGGCCAGCATTTGTCCAGCCACCTGCCCTGCTGCTCCCTGACACCTCGGGCCAAACCTAACCTCCCAAGAGGGTTTGGGGAGAAATTTCGGCTTCCTATTCACCTGGTTCGGTCACTGCCTCCAGGAAGCTCTCCCGGCTCCTTCCTCATTACGCCCAGGGACGTTGCTGCTCACGTCCCCTGGTGTCCCTGTCTTGACCCCAAAACCCATCAGAGAAGAGAGCACGGCGTGCCCTTGGCGGAGCTCTGGGAGGTCCTCTTATTTGCATGGGGCACTACACCTCCTGCTCCATCTCATAAAGGAAGGGCTCAGGGAGGACTTGCCACTGGGGAGATGCCAGGCAAGGGCCAGACTCCAGGGAACAGGCCTCATTTGCCCGCCCACCTTCCCTGCTCAGGCGCCAGGCACCAGCCAGGCCCCCCGTCCACCCAACATCTATTCTCCGTCCTGACTGGTCCCCTGAAGTCGGGGAGCACACGGAGTCCGTCTTTTTCTCCAGGGACTGGCACGTCCTGGACGGAGGCTGGCACTTCTTTTCCACAAAGGGCCAGATGGGCATTACTTTCAGCTTTTTGATTCTTAGAGCCTCTGTCCAGTGTGGTAGCTCGAGAGCAGCCACAGATGATGGGTGAATGGATGAGCGTGGCTGAGCGCCAACACAACTGTGTACAGGACAGGCGCCGGCTGCTGGCCAAGCCCCACACAGGGGGCCCACGGGGACAGCCAGCCCAGACACCCAGCGGCAAGGGCGTGACCCACGCTGAACGCAACACCAGATACAGCAGGAAGCTGAGGGGGCCAGGGGGGGAGGAGGGAGGGCTGCCTCACGGAGGGGCTGTCAGTGCTCACCCTCCGCGAGCCAGCTCCGGGGGCGCCCACTGTGTGGGTCACATGTCACCCTCGGCCCAGGCCCTGGGTGGGGACCCTGCTCTCCTGCCCTCAGTACGGAAGTGAGGTACAAAGAGGCTCTCGAAGCCCAGGCCAGGTGAGGTCTCATGCTGCCCAAACGTGCTCCCAGTGCGACCCACTCAGTACACAACCCCACTGAGCGTCCAGCGAACACTAAACACTCTGCAGAAATCCCGCACGGCCCTGGGACGTGGAGGTCCTAGGGGAAGCTGTCTGTGTGGATGAGGCTGGGGTTCAAGGAGCACCGGATGCCCGCCTGGCTCACCGCCAGGTCTTGTCCACTCCGAGCGAGGCAACGCTCACCTCCCATCCTGATCTCTCCACAGCCTCCTATCCACCGACCCTGGTTCTGTTCAGCCTGCTGCCTGGAGCAGAGATTGCTCGCTTCATGTCCCAGCATCCACATCCCTGCATTCTCACTAACAGAATCTTAATTTTCCCTGGGGTGGCAGTGTGCCCAGCTGAGCATATCTCCCAGCTTCCCTGCTGGCAGCTCTGGCCAAAGAACTGTGAACAGCAGTTATTAGGTAGGACTTCCAGTAAAGCTCTCTAAAGAAGGCTGACTCAGCTGGTGTTCGTACTTTTTGGCTTCAGCCTTTCCTCTTTTTGCTGCCTGGAAACTGATGGCTGGAGCTCTGGCAGCCATCTTGTGACTATGAAGATGGGAGGCTCATTCTAAGAACAGCCAAGTGGAAATCCACAAGAACTTGGGGCCCGCACAACAAACTGGAGACTTTTCGCCTGGTTCCCTCTGCCTACCTCTAGACTTGAAAATAAACTATTAATCCCTTTAAGTGACTGTTTCCTCAGATCATTGTTACCAGCAGCCAGACACAACCTCCCTATAACACATTTACCAAACAGCAGCAGGAGCCAGAATAATGCTTCTCATGTAAATCAGAACATATCATTTCCCGACACGAGATGCTTCTCACTCACGTTAAACCCAAGTGTACGACCTCGGTCCGCCCTTTATCCAGCCTCTCCCGTTCCTGCACCTTCCTGCCCCAGCCATGCCTGGATATGTGGCGCTTGGCCCATCTGCAGGCGGTGTTCCCACCGCCTGTCAGAACCATTCAGAGCATTTCCACATGCGTCTGTTCCAGAGACCACGCGTGCAAGTCCCACAGCCCCGGGGTTCCTGGAGGAGACTTTTTGTCCGTGTGACTGACCGGTGACTGGCAGTGCCTCCCCACAGCTTCTCTGCTCTGAGCTCCCAAACAAGCTAAGTTTCCTAGGAGCGCTCCACCTCAGGGCAGGGAGAAGACAGGTGGCTGCCAGGGCTAGGACAAGGGAGGGATGAACAGGCAGCGCGCAGAGGGTTTTTAACCGCTCTGGAGGGGACGCTGAAATGGGGAAGGGAAACTCCACGTACTTTCTACTCAATCTCACTATGAATCTGAAACTGCTCTCAAATAGAAAGTTTATATTTTAAAAAACACGCCAGCTCAGAGAGCTCCTTCCTGACCACAAAAGGAGCATGTGTGGAGCCCTGTGCAGATGTGCCCACGGCCCGGGATGCCCCCCACGACAAGAGCAAATTCCTGCTTAGGTCCCTGATAGAAGTCACCCCCTGGGACATCCCGTGACAGGCACCGCGGCCAGGCTTAGAACCCGGAGTGGGAGGGGGGAGACTCCCCCTTCTGGAACCTGACACCTGGAACACAGAGATTCATCTCAACTCTCTCCTCAAACCCAGTAACATTCTGACACCCTAAAAGGACACACACTCATCGGATAAAAATGGGGCGAGGATAACAGCCCACGAGGATGTTAACAAACCCTGGGAACTAGAGAGAAGAGACAAGCACAAGCAGCGGTGTGCTGGGGCTCCCCGGGGGCAGGGCGCCCGCCTCGCAGTGTATGCCCCCCGCAGGGGTGTAAATGCTGCTCTCAAGCTCCCAACACGGCACCCCGGGACAGAGACAGGACGCAGCGCACAGAAGCACGCCGGTGTTCGGTACTTCCATCACGCGCAGACAACGGGCACGTGGCCTCCAGAGCAGGAAACAGTGAAGTGCACAGGGGGTGGTGGGTCTTGAGCACGTTTCCCTCCACCTCTATTTTTCATACAGGTCACCTAAGTCCCCATCATTTAGTTTCTGATCACGGGCTGTGTTCACCGCCTGCCCCAGCACACCCCTGCTGGTAATGAACCGACTCTGTCCACCAAGCGGCTGGAGACGGGGAGCCTCAAGACACACAACCGGAGAGGATGAAAGCGACCTTCGACTCTGAAACGCTGACGAAGGAAACCAAACGTTCAGCTGAAGGGCTGGAAGATAAAATGGAGGCGGGTTCCTGAGACTTGAACAATGTGACAGAGACGAAAACAGGGACAGGAAAGATAAGAGAGCTGGAAGATGGTTCAGGAGACCCCGATCTGACTGCTGGAGCTGCAGGAGAGAGTGAAAAAACGTAAGGGATCATCAGAGGAATAATAAAAACATGTCCAGAACAACAACAAAAAGCCCACGGGCTCACAGCATGGAAGCGCCCAGCAGTGCAGTGAATGAACAAAGACCGAGGTACCAGGCACGCCGTGGTGCGATGCGAGAGTCCCGGGGGACAGCTGCAGATCCCGAAAGCTCCCGGAGAGGAACCAGGCCCCGTACAATCACGCTGACACCCAGGAGGCGGCAAAACGCCTTTAAGATCCCCAGAAGAGCATGATTTCTCATGCAGAGTCTTAGAC